GGCTTGGTCTCAACCCAATGTCACGACCAGGCCAAAAAGGATTATCAAAATACACAAACTAAGGAGCGTCCTTCACAAAACATCACGCAGAAAATCTTGTTACCCTARCTTGCACAAAGCRTGACAAATGTTAGTTTCCCTTGCTACCAGTGAGATGTCAATATGTTCCTTTCTTTCTAGCWMGTSKCRTGTGGTGAGACAGACCACCGACATTCATAATTTCAAAAAGGATTGCTCTATATGTACAGTCACAAAGAGGCAACCTTAATGAAACAAACTTCTCTTTTTCTGTACTCAAAGGCGACAATCATGGACMATTCGACAGTCGACAGGCGGATGATTCTTGGACAATGGAAATGACAGAGCATTTAAAAAAAASCCGATTTGATTAAYGAGCATTGATAAATTCCCCAAACTCAGTGTGATATACAATGTGTTTACGGCTTAAGAACTGATAATCCATCGTCCTTTTTATCTACGAAATCTAGTACCCCGATTATCATTTGATAGCAACTTCGGATCTATGCGCCAAAACGGCGTATAATGAAAATTATAGCTTTACAAAAAGTGACAATTTATTGTGATTCTGATCTGAAATTTWAAGGCTCCATCTCATCCATCTTGCGACTTTCGTCCTGTCTTTTAACACAATTCAGCTGATAAACGTCTCAGGAGCTAAAAAGTAGTTGATTTGAAGGTTGATATGAAGGTTTTACTAGTCGAGATGAAACACTCTTAACACTATTGAAGATAGCGGATCCTCATTCAGCAGGAGAGAACTCTCCTGAGCATATATGAAGTGGTATAATGAGAAAAAACGTCCTTGTTATCATAACAAGTCTTGAGACTGAGACATCTGAACTTTAGTTCAACAAGATAACACGCTGTAGTTTTTAATGGTTGTCAATTTTTGTCCCACATTTCGTTTTGAACGTTTTTAGGGGGTTTGCAAACATGATTTTCAATTGAAATGTATGTGTACGTTTACATCTCACAATAAATAGAAAATTAGATTTTAGGATCTTAAATGGCTATATTATTTCTCTTCTTTGCGYAAYGATGATTTTTTGGAACTGCTTTCAAARGAAAACAGTTCACCTTTTTAAAATTTGTCAGAGCAATTATTTTCCTAAGGAATTGAACAAAAAAAAATAACGTTTTTGTTGCTTGACTAATGAATTTTCTTTCTGCCGGAATAGCTAACCATTTGAAAACAAGAAACCATCCGGACAAAATACTTAAAACTATAGACAATAAAAGCGATGCATAGAAGGAAAAGAAAGAAAATTAAATTTATAGTTTATGTTCAAAGAAATTGAATGGGAAATTACTTAACCCAAATGAGCTTTGTCAGTATGTCATATGTTTCTAGCAATTGGCGCTAAACTCAATTAAATATCATTTGGATATACGAAGGTTGATTTAGTTTAGGTAAACCATTCAGGGCCCCTAATGATGGCTTCCTATATCGCGACGCCTACAAACTTTGAACTGCGTTGTTAAAACATGTGCAGATCGTGTCATGAAAACGTGCGAACATAGCTAACATCTTTTGACTAAAAATTACATTAAATACATTTGTACAAACGACTGATTTCAGATTCAGTTATAGCAACACAAAAWATTCAAAGCGTACTAAAATGTCCAAATAYATAGTCATATCTCACGAAAACGGTTCCGCGTCAAATTTCCCATRCSATAAGTTCCACCTTTTCACCGTGAAATTTCCCTCATTCACCCAACTCGGCACTGATTCTCACCTTTTAGAAGTGTTTTCAAGAATTTCACGCTATTGTTGTTACTGCAATGTAATTTACATGTACCTCAATAGCAGTTTAGATCAGTTCAACATAGCCAACAGTGTCAAGGCTACCATACGCTATATCATCTSTTTRTTGAACTGTACTGCAGGTGTTTCGACTGATGTAAGAGTTTGAMGGCGTAAAAGCAAACATACCTTTGTCAATGTTTTGTATCACATCCGTGTGACGCTGACGAGATGTTCTTTTATTTGACCATGCTTTGACTCGTWATGGCTCTCATTTCAAATGCAACTCGACTGAAAAAAAATATTTTTGGTGTGGTTTAAGCGTTATGAACGTTCAATTTGAACAGAGGAAACGACATCACGCCCTTTTGAATCAGAGCCGAAACGTGATACTTGTTACAATTTTTAAGAATACCCTCCAAACTGCAATGCATAAATCATGCCATTTGGTGACATGATCACGTTTGACTGTCATATGATTTGATAAAAAGGTCGAGAAATCAGGAAACTGCACTATATCCCTCTTAGCATTAGTGAGTAAGATAAATAGATGAGTTTTGCGATCTCTTGGWCTGTGCTAGCCTCAATTGTAACTACAATATACAAAATTGTTTATTAAAATCAACTATTTTTATTGTCTTCTCCACTCTTAGATCTCTTACATTTAAAATTGAGCGTATTACATGGCTTTGAGGCTAAAACAGAGTAAAAGAGATCGCTTTGTTTTGTTTTTTGTTTTAGTTTTATTTTGCTTGCTAGCAGGATGCATCTACTGGATGCACTATGGATGCCAGTAGAGTATCATATGCAAATTACTACAACACATTGAAACGTTTGACATTCTTGGRAATRTCTGCTTCGATCAGTTCCAAGAAGTTTAACCTGTACTWGGACTGGAAAACCAGTTAGAGTCTAGAAAAAATAATTTGCACTTCAAGAAAGCACTTTTTGTGCGATTGTGTATGTTTTAAAATTAGAAATCCATATAAACTATTATGTGTTGACAAATGTCTTGTGAATCTGTTTGCTTAGGCTAAAYAAGGGGTGTTCAATTTGCCAAATTTAAGGAACAATAACTCCAGACGAAGAATTCAAATTGCTACATCGAAAAATGTCCGTCACGTGTCATCCTGTAGTTGACGTCATATTTGATTTAACAACAGATCACTTCCTGGAAATATTGCCTACGTCATTGGTGACATCACGAGACCTCCATGGCAGCATTCGCACGAACATTAAAACGAATCAGAATGCTTAAAAACGTGTTCTTGCAAGCTTTACGAAGATCAAAAATTCTCCATAATAATATTGCTGGGTTAATTGAAGAATTTAGAAAGACTATATTTGTAGATAGTTTAACTCCAAGTACTGTGCGATAGGAGGGTCCTTCAACACAGTACAGTACTAAAAAACAAAACAAAGGAAGAAAGCAGAACAGAAAGGCAGTGTAAACGAGAAACGTGCTTATTAAAGTTTTACGAAACCGTTTCAAACTCGTATTTGTGTTCTCTGCGGAATTTTCAGTCTGTGAAATCTCTTGAGCTATGATCTGTTTTTGATGTCGTCGWAGTRYTTTGAATATAACACCGTAAAACACAAGCGTCGAAGCCATGCAAATTGCCATCGAGACTACGACGAAATAGTTGAACGAGAAAAAGCCCAAGAATAGCCATGACAAGGAGATTATTAAGACAAATAGCCACACAATTGCGCAAACGATGATCACAGCCCTAGCAGTCACAACAGCTGGATATCGAAGATGTAGACGAAGCGCAAGATATCGGTCAATACTCGATGCCGTTATACTTAATAAAGACACTCCAGCAAACAAAGTAGAGGAGATCCCAAACAAGATTGCCGTTGTACAAATGCAATTCGTTTGTCTCAAGTATTCCATCGTAATCCACGTTAAGTATATAGGTTGAGCAATCAGTCCTACTACCAGGTCAGATGTAGCAATATTACCAATAATTATCATGCTTGGTGTTGTGTTTAGTGCCGGGGTTTTAGCGATGCTTAAAACAACCAAAATATTTAAGATGACAGTTGGTAAGATGCTCAGTCCGTTTAGCGCAACCATCACAAAGTAAAGACTGCCAGAAAAAGTATGCAGACTTGCCCATTCGCCGAAATGAAAACACTGAGTTGTGAAATTCGCTTCCATTCAGGCGGTTTTGACAGTGTCTTTTTCAGCGCCCCCGATTAGTCCTTGCGTCTTTTTTGGCGGGATAACGCTTTCGGAGCCTTTCTAATTGACATATAGGTTTCTCAGTTCACTTTAGCTCGATARATGGTGTTTTGATTCTGAGGATAATCGTCGTAGCCTTGCTAAAGGTGGATCTTTAGTTTACACACTTAGCATGAACTCTCAGTTTTCCTTGAAAAAACTGATCTAAAAGTAGTCGATAACTAAATCGATAACTTAGCTTCAAACAACTCAATATCATGTACAAAACCATCTGCTACTCTTAATGTATACGAACTACAGGGATACTGTTTGGATTATTAAATTTGGAGAAATGAACATGTCATGACGCATACATTAAAATTACTGAAAAGTAATTTTAATCCGTAGACTTTGCAATTAAGTAGTAAGATCACGTGTTAATGTTAGTTTTGTTGTGTGTTTACATGTACTTGAATAATCGTTCGTGTACGTATATCAAATTGGTTATTTTTTTACTGTTTTGGGGGAAATAATCAAGTATAACAAGAAACACACCTYAAMTTTTCTTTAATTGTTYTCCTAATGAAAATTTTCATTTAGATGTGAGCAGAGAAAACAAGGGCAGGAASCCACACTAGTTAGGGTCTTGTTATTGAAACAATGTCAAACTTAAAGCTAAATTAACAGGAGTTGTCTCAGCATGGAGTAATCAAACATGGCAGATTTTGAGTTCTAAATTTTTAAATAGCTATTTTTTTCGCCACCAACTGTTATTTAGCTGTTATTTCATGATGTTTTCACGTGGTTTTCACTGATAAAAMATATTTTTGCTGTTTGTTATTTATATTACTATTTCAAATACCATTTTGAATGTTACTACGATCCACGGTTAGACCACTTTCTCGATGAACTTAAATTTCTATTACAAATGTGTTATATCTGTAAAAAGTCAATATTTGACAAATAAATTTAATTATCGAAATTCAGTACAGCCATGGATAATTACAGTGTGCCTAACAAATGCGGGAGTTATCGAGGGGGGTATACTACTTAGCACAACTTCCTGCTTTTGTGTTGTTGGAAAGCCCTATAGAGTACATTCTTGTTTGTACGTGTTTTAAGGTAAACAAAAGTTGAATACATACATTTTCAAGATTGTCAAGACTAATTGTGAACAAAACTCTCTTATTTAAGTGTTCAAATTGAGAGATCTCTTTGGGTTGACAAAAGAATACCCATTCAATTTAGAAGCCTATACACCTTTACCATAATGGCTGCAATTGTGTTTTTCCAAAATAAAATAGATATGAATATTTTGTCACTGTAACATCAAAGAACTATCAGAAATAAACGTTTTTGGAACGTTTTAGAACTCTGGACAAAATAGGAAAAAAGTTATGGTGAAATGAAAATACAAAGAAATGTATGTAATTTTCCACCAATGGCTGTCTGTCTATTTGTTTCTGAA